GCTAAGGGTATGTTTATTTCATCCTGTGTGGATTGTGTACGTTCATTTGTACACACTGTGTTTTTTTTGTTTTTTTTCCCCTGCAACATCTTATCTCACTTCTGACGTATTTGTCAACCCACGCTGAAGTCCTCATAAATATTGGAGAGCAATGCGCTTGAGCTGCTTCCATTTCGTGTGCCGCCGCCTGTCCGTGAGGCTGGGTGGCCGTGACGTTTGAGGAGGGACATCGTTCTACCAGCCTCACTGACTGACGGTTTCTGAGTTGAAGTGACTCCATGTAGTGGATTTTCTGGCTTTTGTTTTCTGACAATTAAATAAGAATACTAACAAAGGTAAAAGATTGCATAAATATTTACCTCCTTTATAGGGGAGTTACTTTGTATTTTCACAATGAGTGGAATGTAGTGAGTGTGTCTCAAGTGACTGTAGTTTAAACACACCTGTGTGTGTGGAAGGTCCATTCACTGGTACATCAGTGTTCCTGACTGCCTTTGATTTTTAAAAGCAATAAAAGAACACAACACTGAACAGGGGGGATACTTTTAAAAGACGCTGCATATTGAAACAACAGGTCCGTTATGGTGGACATGAAGGCGTCAACATAATGTATTATTCCTCCCAGCTCAGCAGCTGCCTCTGACACATTTCAGATCCAGTTGTTCAGAAGGAAATCTGCTGCATTAGGGTTCATTGTGCACCAATGTAGGACAGAAAATACACGTTTCTTTAGTTCTACTTTCTCCTCCTGATCACCTTTAAGCTTTGCTCATGTATCCCTCCACACACTGATCAGTGTGTACGTTCCCGTGTCCTGGTCCGTGTGTGAACAGAGATCCTCTGCATGCCATGCGTTCTGCAGCTTCCCCCCTGTGGCTCCGTTTTGCGTGTGGAGCACTCGCCTGCCCTGACCTCACGCTGCCATTTCCTGCCTTTTTTGATTATTAATTCAGTGTTTGCTGTCATAACCCATCACAGGCTCTCATGCCCCATAACCTCTAACCTTCCCTTCCCCCTGCCTGCTATATGCCAAAGAGAGTTAAGTCCAGCTGACCCAGATTGTTTATTTTTATTTTGCCCCTCACTGTAAGGGACGGCGTCCGTCCCCCGAGGAGAGGCCCTCCACGCGCCACCTTGCTTGGAAGCTGTTGAGATGAATTTAGCAAGTGCTAAGAATTCTGTTTAAAACTTTAAAAGGAAATACATTAATGATGCGACTCCAAGCCCGGGGGTCTTTTTGACTTTTCTACTTCATTGCATTTTTGCTTAATCTGAGGCTGCTTTTGCTCCATAAGTGTTTATTTTTATAATATAGAAGCTCGCTTGTCAGCTGTGTATTTTTTTCTTCTGTGTGCACAAAATGGCAGCAAATAGGAACGCTCCGATATGTTCATGGTGTTTTTTGGTTGACCTGTCAAAACAAAAAGTCTTTCTACATTTTGTATTTTCTTGTTTGGCACAAAATGTGGGTCGCAATAAACAAATTCATGCACAGAGGCACCTCCTACTGAGAGTAGTGAGTAGAATCAGTCTATATTTACGCATTAACATCCATATTTATAGTTTTATTTTGGTTGCAAACACCCCTGCAGAGTTATATTTACGTCAGAAGTTGGAACTTGGTTTCTGGGAATCCCAACGCTTCGAAAATAGCCATGTTCCAATTGCAATCAGTAAAAACGGTCTGGCTGTTTGAAGCATTTAAGTCAGTAATGAAGTATTGAGGAGCATCTTTTGCATTCAAACTGTGTAGCAACACTTTCCCCAACAGAGGGAAAGTGTGAGATTAAAACCTTCGGAAAGAGTAATACAGTTTTTCAGTTGCCATCAGTTCATTTAAAATTTACTGCAGTAGGGCAAGTTAGAGTAAAAAACAAACACAAACAGTATAGCCTCACTAATTAACCAGCTAGTAGCGTTTTGTTTCAGTGGTGGCGAAACGTTTGTAATTAGGCCTGAAGTATCAAGTCAAAGGCTCTTGCCTGCAATTAAATGTTATTTTGAGAGGAACAAAAAAAAATAAAAAAAATGTTTTACCTGCTCAACAGTTTAGTAATCATACAATATTTAGATGGAATAAAGTAGTCACATTTTATTGGAAAGAAATTTGCAAATCATTGTAGATACCCTTTTTCATGTTTGCCATATGAAAAGACCAGTTTGTAAATAATTGCAAATTAAATAATGAAAAAATATGGGGAAAAACAAGTCTTTGCTCTGAAAACAGAACATGAACACATTATAAATAAATGAATTTTACTTAATGTGCTTTTAAGATAAAGTCATTACTGTGACTTTAAAGAGAATCCAAAAAGTGTTATTAAAAGTTGAGTATTTTGTTTCCATCACAAACAGATTACATTTTTGCAGTAATAGTTTTTTGCTAATTAAAAACAAAATAAGTGAAATAAAATCAGTAACACTGTATATGAAGAGTTGACTGACATTACACTGTCATAAACATAACACAACACCTGCCACAGTCATCATAATGAGTACCAAAGGACTAGTTGGTAGAGTGTGTGGTTGTCGCCAACTTTGTTAGCCTGTTGCATATTATTTGGTCTTGCTGACGGACTTCCACTGCCTTGCAATGGCAAAACCTGCCATATATTTTGGTCACCAACATGCTGAAGCTGTGCTCAGACAGAGTGGCGAGGATTTCCAGATGATGCAAGAGAGAGAAAGATGGAGGAAAATGCATAATGATAATTTGTGTGCAGCCGAGCTCTGCAGAAACGGGGCAGAGAACCGGCAGAGTCGGCTCAACGGACGCAGCTGTTGTGACCGGTTTGGCCTGGAAGGAGGATGTGGAGCGTTTGTTACTGGCGTCAGCCAGTTCCAGTCTCCCGTGTGCAGTTTTCACAGCCGATTATTCACATCATCACTCTTACCTTGCTTCCTCCCAACACGGTGTGCGCTTGTCTCGATGCAACCATTTTGCTTTTATCGTCACCTCTGGCATGGTGATTAGGTTCATTCTCCAGCTTCTGGAAATGTTAAAATGCCTTTTCTTTTTTTTACCTTTTAGTTTCAAACATGAATGAACTCCTTCAATAAGAGCCCTTCTGAAAAGGACTTGTGGGATTAATTAATGTTCAGAGTCTGAGACAGAAAACGAATCCTTCAGGCTGCTCTTTAGTTAATTATTGTTTTGCAATCAGGCACTTTGATGTCAGAAAAGTGCTTTATACATATAAAAAAAAGTCAGGATATTTAAACGTTAAGCAAATTTTCATCATTATTTTATGACTGCTCTGTCATAATAAGGATTTAGTTTAGTTGTATTTTTTGTACAAAATCTACTGTACAGTGACCTTGATGTAAAAACCCTGGATGGATCGTAGCGTAGCTAAGCTTTGGCAGTGGCACTTTCTGCTGTGGTATGTCTTCCCCAGCCTGACTGCTGTGAGTAAATGGAATAAGATGATGAGTTCACTACGGCAGAAGGACGACTGGTGTAAGTGCACAATGGTGTAAGATGTCACCCATCATCCAAACTGCCCATTCCACATTTGACAATGACGGTACAGTTGACTGTCCAAGTTTCAACCTGTGGGTAATTCTCCCTCTCCAACAGTAAAGTACCATATGAAGTTCACACCAGTTATCTTTTTGTCTTATTGGCATTTTGAGCCAAAATACTAACCTGATGGCTCTAAATTCACCTGATGATTTTAAAAGAGGGCAGTAGTAGAAAAAATACTCAACCGAAACAAGGCTTTTGTTCGTATATGTGTGAAAAGGTATATAAAAGATATGGCTACGTTTGTAAGACAAACTTCAATGTACGTTTCTTTCATGGTGATGCATTTAATTTTGAACAATTTTGCAGTAAGGACTCCACTGAGGCAATGTTTTCTAACAGTAATAGATATTTTAAATCATGCAGTCAGATATAACACCGTAAAGGTGATTTATATGATGTATTAGCCGACTGGAAAGGTAAGAAGAAGGGCTATAAAAGCAAATCAAAGCAGACCTGACTCGTGGCTTTAGAATACACTAAAAACTCTCACGCCAATGCATTTCCTCCTTTCAGCACGCATTTCCTAAACAAAGCAGGTGAATGTGGGAAAAGTGGCCTTTTATATCTTTGGTAATGAGCAAATTAATAACAATTCAAATGAATGCAAAGCCTATAAAATGAACTTCTCTGAAAACGACTGCATCCTTATTCAGAATGAAGTGGAAATGCATTAATACTTATCATTTCCTCTTACAGTGAACCAGAGCTGAAGGCATTTCTGTGGTATTTGCTCTGGCTGTATTCTCCACCCGTCTCACCTGTGGTACTCCTGTGCCGCTCATGCTCCATGCAAGCGGGAACAGGCCGACCTGACCCCTCCTGCCATGTCCCCATGTCATTCACGCTAGAGCGCCACATTCCTGAGCATCCCAGCTCATGCAAAGACACATTCCTCCCGCTTTTGCTTGTGTGTCTTTTAAACCCCCACCCTCCCCCAAAAAACCTATCACACTCTTGAATGTATGACAATGCTAACATCCTGTTTTGTGGTAATTGTACTCCTCGGTCGAGTAGCTGTCGGTGCCCCTGCGTCCTGCTCCGGCTTTCTGCCGTGATCACAGATCTGTTTTGCTCTGGATTCAGACGCCAGGCTCTGGCGGTTCCCAGAACGGCACCTTGGGTCTCACCTTCCGCAAACTGGCGTAATTAGCAAAGTTTGCCTTTGTGCTGCCGTCTCGGCTTGTGTTTTGGCTTGCCTCCCACCGTGTTTGTGGCCTGTCACCGTTAATGAGCGTGTGCGCAGAGCTGCAAGGAGACATCACACACCTCCAACTTTAACACTCCATTAGATAATTAAGGAGGATGGGGTGTTTTTGTAACATTTCAGCTGAGACATTCCCATTAATTAGCGTCAGAGGAAAGGAACAGTTTTGCTCAGGCACTTTACTACAAAGGGATGTGATCTCTACCTTGTCACTGAAGCACTAAATGATCTCTCCTCTGTGTTTTTTTTTTCTATTTATCTTTCTAGGGAGACGCTTCGCAACCGCAAAGAAGAGGCCCGACTAAGGAGAGCAACTCTTCCATGGCATCATGTGATCTGCACATTCCCTCGGCGAGCTCTACGGCGGAGGAGTGAATTGTGAAAGCATCCCAACCACTAGCAGCCCCCCCATCACCACTATCGCTGCTCCTGTGCGCTGTCATCAAAGTCTCGTCTTCGTGACTCAACTTGCCTCTTTTTCTCTGCCTTCGTCTTGAAGATAAAGAATGGCTGTGCTGCTTCCCTGCCCCTCCAACGCCTCCTGTAAATAAGGCCTTTTTAGCTTGTTGAACAATACGTGAGAAAGGAGGCATAAAAGAGCTTTTTATATTTCTGCTGTGTGTCTTTTTTATCTTTTTGTCCGCAGCAAGTCAGCCCTAAAGACACACATACTAACTAAACAAACAGGGTTTTTTTGTCCTGCTGACATCTACAGGAGGTGTTTTCTGAACTTTTTTAACCTTAAGCGGATTATTTGACAAACCTTTACCTTGCAGTCCTTTGGAATATCTACTAATGGAACTTCTCTATGGGGGATTAAATCATCCCAGGAACACGTACTGACTCCTCTTTGGATCGGCCGCATTTTAACCAGGGGTTGATTCCGTCACTGAGCTCTGTTTGTGGGCGAGCCACCATGGCCGGGAAGGGCAACCCGGTGCCAGGCGGACACCTAAACGGCTTCCCCATGCCCCCCTACTCCTACTTTTTCCCCCACATGCTGGGGGGCATGTCGCCTCCGGCCCTGTCGGGACTTCCCATCAGTGGATACAGCACCCCCTCCCCAGCAAGTAAGTCAACTTTTTTTTCCCTCTTTTCATCTGCCTGCTGGAGGTTTTGTGTTTCAGCTGCGTTTTACAGTTTGAAGTGCAAGTTGCTTCTTGAATGATGGCAATTGTTGAAGTTGTTTTACTTTCTTTGTGTGTGGATGTGTGTTTGCGTGTGTGCGCGCATGGGTGTGCATGCACATGCAAGTGTGTGTGTGTGTGTGTGTGTGTGTGTGTGTGTGTGTGTGTCTAGCATAACTAGAGCAATGGGCGGTGCTCCTTTGGTTTTAGCGCCATGAGTTTCCAAACAGCCTACTGAGGCTCTTGCATCGGTTATAATATTGACAAATATTACAATGACAATATCAGTTACCAAATATGCCTGTTTTCTTCTGTCATATCTTTCTCATCTGTTCTTCTGTCACTCTGTGACCTTCAGCATTTTGTGTCTGGTGTTGGTTTCTGCTGCCTAGCAGCTCTGCCAGCTAAATATATGCTTGCGTTTTACATTCTAATTGGACTTAGGGATGCAAGTTGACTGATCTTATCAATCAATGAATAATTAATTGATAACCAGCCATTTTCTTAAAAACCTGAGTTTTCTGTTTTATGAAGAAACAGAAATCTGTTTCTTCATAAAGAAGGAAGTTTTGAAAAATGTTGCCCATTTTCCATAATAAAAAGGGCAAAACTTTTCAAAGTATATGCTGGATGAAAAAAAAAGAATGAAACATAGTGAGAGTTAAGGAGCTTGTTGAGTGTTTGTATTTCAAAACAGGATGGCATTAAGTGCATTTTGCATTCCGCACCGGACTCTGTTGGACTGTTTTTCTTTCCAGTTCTGGTATGGCCCTGCCATCTTTGTTTTTGTTTCAACTGGTTTGCTTAAGGATGACCAGTGGTGCCCTCTTCTGGATGGCGTTCAAGCTACAACAGTGAAAGAAGGTCCAAGCAGAGGTTATTAATCAGTTGGAACTAATTCTAATCTAATAAAACTTTAATTAACAATTACTCAATTATTATTTATTTGTATCCATAATGGGAGTATATTAGCCAACAAGCAGTCCTTTTCTAAATGAATGTTCCACACACTGAGGATGATATGTTCACATTATTTGTACAACCCTACAGCCACCTCTCTGTCCTGTAAACAAGAGACACCTGTGTAGCAACCATAATGTAATGACGGCCAATAATGTAATAATGTTGGTCATTTCAGATGTTATACAACCAATAATATAATAACCGGCCAAAAATGCCATGAAGGTTTTCAGACCTTAAGGCTACTGAGCGATACTCAAACCGGTGCTGAGATTCAAACCCAGAACTTTCTTATTGTAAAGGCAAAATGCTAACAACATGCAGCCACACATCAAGTCAAGTTTACTACTCTAGCACATTACAGTCACAAAACAGTTCAAAGTGCTTCACACCATAAAAACATAATACAGCAACCAATAATGAAACAAGCAAGAAACTTTCCATTTTGTTCCTTTGATGCTGGGAACCAAAGGTAACTCTAAACAAGTGGAATCTTTAGCCTTGATTTAAAGGAACTCATCGTTTCAGCATCTTTGCAATTTTCTGGAAGTTTGTTCCAGATAAGTGGAATAAAAAGTGAATGCTTGGTTCTGGTTCTGGGGATGCAGACTATCAGGAACTAGAAGACCTGAGAGGTCTGGCTGATTAGTGATTTATAAACTGTAAATGTTTTAGCAGCATACCTGATCTAAACCATTCCATTGTAGCTCTGGCTGTATGTTTAAGGTGAACCTATACCCCGGTCTATATCATCTTTTCTATCCTCTATCAGGTTATTTTCCATGATTGATGTAAATCCATCAATTTCCCTACCAACTAACAGCTCCTCTTTTCCTGCTGAAGAAAATCATTCCTAAAGCATGATACTCCAAACACAGTTCTTCACAAAGGACATGGTGTGTTCAGATATATGATTTGCCATTTTTCTACCACATCTTTCATTTGCCAAAAAGTTCAGTTTTGGTCAACAGAAGGCCTTCTTTCTCATGATGCTGTGTTTTCCTGTGTAACTTGCTTCAAGCTGAAAATTGGGGTTCGTCTGACTTTTTTGTCTTAAAGTTTCATTAAATCCTTTGTGGAGTATGTTAGAATTTATGGAAACCAGGTGAATTTATTCTGAGATTATATCCACATGTGTTCTGTATTTACTAATTGGGTGACTTCTGATGGTAGCTCTGGATTTTCTTTGTGTATTTGCATTGTTCTGGTCACATATAATCCCAATAAAATACTTAAAGAAAAAGTGAAAAAGTTGTGGAGGAACTTTATGTGCACTTTAGTAAAGCACTGTATGCTTTGGAGCCTTCTGGTGAAAGAACACTTTCTTCTCATCCTGTTCAGATCATTCCTGTTTTGAAAGATGTGTGTGTCGGTAAACAGAGAGAGACACACAAACATGCAGAGCCGCGTCGCCTCCAGCTCTGTCCTTAATTTACAAACCCACACACACATCAGCTCTCAGACACACATGGAAATTTCAGCAGAGATCACAAGGAAATGAAGCGGGACAGTCAGACAAGCGCATTGTTTGTTTGGGGAACACAAGTTTGGCAAGTGGTCCTAAAATACATTTCACAAATACTCTCATTGTGGCTGATGGTCACGCAACAGCTCCTTTCACACAGGCTGTGAAAAGCTGTGGAATTGACTTGTAAAAAAAACCCAACAAAACAAAACACAAAGACAAAAAAATGTCAAACCAGGTGAAGACTGGCTTTGAGAAGAGGAAGCCAACTTTTCTGTTATGTGTTAACACAGAAAATCTACCTATTGGTAATTAGCACATTTATTTTGCCGTTGAGATTATAAGTTGAGATTTATCAGAGCAGAAGGTGCGTGTCATGTTAGTTCCTGTTGATTCACTGCCGCATAGTCTCAGCAGAACATCAACAGGTTCCCAGGTTAATGAAATGCGGGAAAGGCAGCTGACAAATGAGCTGGAGCAAACTTTTTCTATCATCTACCATCTTGAATTTCAATACTGTGGTAGAGCAGGAATTAGATGATCAGTTTGTTGTGCTCTCATTCATCTGCGTTATATGATTTGTTTAAAGATGCAGTGGAGTTATCTTTTATTTTCTATCATTTTAAGCTGCTTTGATAATGGAGTAGATCAATAAAAGCTCTTTAGAAGCCTGAATTCCAAGTTGGAAATTTGGCTTTCCCCCATCAGTGGCCTCAAAATCCAATATGGCTGCCCTGCATATTAAACTTAGTGATTGCCACAGTAAAAAATAAATAAATAAAAATTTGCTGTTCCACTGTTCTGTATTAAATCTTTTACACACACAGCCTCCTTTATGAAACAAAAACAGTAATACCTTGGCATTAGCTTAAGATTTCTAGCAGTTAGCCGAGTCGCTCAGGGTATTAATTGGCAAATGCCGTTTGTTTTTGAATTTAGAACTGGTTTTGGTCCTCATACCTTTCCCGCCTGCCTGGGGTACCAGCAGTGGTGCCTGTACCACAGACTGAGACCCAGGGAAGCATTGATAAAGGAGCTGCAGATATGGGTGGATTGTGCAAACTGGAGCTGACAGACCTGTCCTCACTCTTACAGGTTCACAGGAGGTCACTGTATTGATTCTTTTATTTGGCGTCTGCTGGAGCTTGCATGTGCAGCCAGAGATGAGGGGAAGTGAAGAACAGTTGGTGCCCAGCCCTGTCACTCCCACTTCCCCAAATACCAAACACCCCGTCTCACTCACAAAGACTGGAACTCCCGTCGGATTCCTCTTTTCACACTGTCGCGAGCGCCCCGTGTGTTTGTGTGTTTGTCTTTGTGCATATCCAGCAGTGTTTGCCTTGCGGGGAGGCAAGATTTCTTCCCTTTTGCCTGGACAAACATTTCCTGTCTGTAAACACTGGAGAGCCAGGGACACCACGGCTTCCTGACATGCACGAGTGAGCGCTCACATTTACGCACATGCACAACATAAACACAATCTTTGCCCTTCAGGCTGGCTCACTTTCTCTCACTCCGGTTCCTCACGTGCGAATAACTGCAGGCACAATTCACACTTGCTCGCTCTGTCTCTCTCTCCCTCTGTCGCACACACAGAGCAATCGAAACACGCTCCTTCCTCCTTGTCTCCTTATGTTAACTGCAACAAAGTGCTTTCAACCCTTCCTTTTCCTCTTCCTGTTCCAGATTGTATCTCTCTCTCTTCCCCTTGCTTCTTTCTTTCCCACTTATACACAAAAACTGCCGTCCAGTTTTGGCAGTAATGGGTAGAAAAGATTTGGAGGGATGAGGAAAATAGTTTGATACTTGAATAGAGAGGAGATTTACAAAATACCAGATTGAAGGCGCAGCAGTAAAGCAGAGTCCTTGATGGATTTCAAACATGACAGAGCCTCCAGTTTAGGATTAATGCGGATGTCTTTACAGCCATAACTGTTATTCACACTGAAGATTGATTTTTTTTTTTCCCTTGCTGTGACTGTTAGTTCTTATATGCAGTTGAGTGGTGGGAACATTCATATCGTATTTCTACAAATTTACACTGGCAAGTTGTGCAGTGATTATATAAAACAAAGATGTAGTGAATGGAAGCAGCTGAAAGTCTCACTTTTCTAATCGTATACATTGTTTTACTCTTGACAGCTTATCCCGTACTGTAGTAATCTTGTTGTTTAAGTCTTCTTTCCATGAAACTCTCTACCAAAACAGTCAAAATCTTATCCGAAAAGTTTTCTACAGTTAGTTTAATCAGGAAGAATACATGAAGGATGTATGAAAATAAAAACTTGTGCAACTTCAAATCTGAGAAACTTTATGGTCCTGACGTCTTTTTGAGCAGACCGGATCACTCTTAACACATCGCTCACTGCAGTAACTTCAGAGCCATCCTGATAATCGGAGCGTCTTTAAGGTTGTTGGAAGAAGAAAATTGGAACAAAAATTGGCATAAAAATCTTGCAATGTTAACTGTGATTAAGGAACATCCATCCACTTTTTGTGCATAGAGCAGTCTTTGAAG